TTATCCAACTCTTTATCCCGGGTTCCTAACAGTTCTCCAAAGCCAAGGATCTCTAAGCCTATTATAATAAATATGATTAATAAAAATAAGAACACATTTTATAATTTACGAAGTCTGACAAACATATTAATGGCATAAATTATGTACATTACTTGAAAACAACATGATAATTAGTATATGAAGTACGGTATTGTTAATTCACCTTCAAAGAAATCCATAGTGTCTGTATCACCTAGTTCATCTAAGATTTCATCCCTTAATGATCCATCTTTAATTGCCTCTGGCTTGATGTATGCTTGGTAGACTTGTCCAATACATCCTGAAAATATTGCTCGTCTTCGATTGTCAATCTTTACAATTACATCTCGCCAATTCTTCCCAAATGCACGGGTGAGTTTTTTTTGTGTATAGTACCAAGAATGTGGCATAACATGCAGGTGAAGTTGAGAGAACATATCACAAAACTCTGCTGGGAAGAGGTCCCTCCGTGTGCTAGCCCACTGGCCAAACTTAATCAATGTTGGGCCAAGCCTTTCAACAGCAAAATATAAGATTTTTAACCACAGAATCCAGGCATCATTTGAGAGGTACGTCAATGGATATGTGCAACATATTGGTGTAAAAATTAAAATTAGCTTTAACAGTCTAAAAAACAATTTAACATGGAATATAATACTCTTTAAAACCCTGATGAATATATTGCTGTGCTTCCTTAGTCCTAGATCCTTTGATACTGGTAAGACCAATTCCGCACACTGCACTGTCTTCAATGGGCGCAAGAATGTCAAAACAGAGGCAGCAGTACTAAGGCTGATGCCCAGGCTCCTACAGTATCTCAAGGATGCATACCATGGGTGAGGTGCTGTTGAGTGAATGCACCTCATGGTAAAACTCACCTTTGGTGAACATCTACTAAAAGTGTAGATTACATTTTGCTGCAATTCTACTTGTATTGCTGTTCGTAAAATATTTCGATGGATAAGAGAAAACATCTGGTTTTTTT